AGTGAAGGGAGATGGAAATTTATTAATTAAGTACAATAGAAGGCTGCAGGTAATATAATGTAACGGCAGCACAAGGTCCATTTTACACTAGGAGACAAGGATATAAGGATGGACTTTGTAAAGTAGAAAACTCTGTATTTTTGGGTCTATTTTGGAAAATGTATATTCCCTCCTTTCATAATCAGTTGTCTACACCTTCACCCCATTCAGCATTATATTACATGCTCCTTGAATACATGCGCCTTCTACACTGCATGTCCCTTTCTATAAGGAAGTTAAGATTATTTAATATATGGCTTAATCTCCTAGTTGAATATTAGTTTATTAGATATTGTTAAAAGAAGAAACACCACAGACAAAATATTTTAACAAAGCAAAAATATATTTGTTAAGATTAATTGGCTTATTAATAATTTATTTAAGGTACCAAAGTTTAATAATCTTTACTGTCCATTTCCCTAAGTGACTTATCTTAAAAGATTTTATAAAGGAGTAGATTTGCTCAAAGCTAGGGTTCGTTTGTAATGTTTCTGCTTGATGATTGTTCTTCTTAGGGACTGTGCCTTTGTTACTGAAAGGTATTATAAGTTGAACCAAAGTTGTGCTGCCATTAAAACTTTCTAAAATCACACTACGGTAGCCAGAGCTCACAATAATTTTTTCCCTTATCATAAGCAATTAATAAATTGTGATTGAATATCTAGCTGATCAACGCCTATCTTCTACAGAGTACTGTACTTGAAGGCAGAGATTTTATTGTCTTCTTATCTTCTGTAGCACCTGACCTACAGACACTGAAGAAAAATTGGTTAAAATGAAGTGTATTTCATTTTCTATATTTTATATTTGTTCACAGTGAGCTCCCTTTGTGCCTTGAATCACTATATTAAGTAGAAGAAAATACATAGAATGTGTAATAAGTTATCATAAACAACTGAACGCCAATTGTTATTGATTTAATCTTAACAATTACACAATTTATGCCATATATAATTCTGTTCAGCTATGCAACCATCTACACTTCACATTTTTAAACAGAAGTTCAGCACCCTCAGAAAGTTTCCTGCTTAATTTAGTCACTTTATCCTATTCTTACTTGTACTATTTATTTTACTATCTCATTTTCCTTTGGCCCCTAAGCCCTTATTTTACATTTATGAGTTCCTTTCTTCCACAATAAGTTTTAAAAATCCCAGCCCATGAATAGTCTTTTGTACCTAATGGTTCTAAACCACTGCAACCTTATTTAACAACTTTTCCATTACCCTTTAGGCATATTCTCATTGTTTCACAATCTAAATGGTATTTTCATTTCCATCACTTTTTATTTCTTTTTCTCTAAGCCCCCTAGCCTGAACAGAAGTCCTCTAATTTGTTGCTGTTTTGTTTCTCATCCTCGAGACTGCATTCAATTTGATTGGTATTAAATGAAGAAATAAAAATTAATACTTACAGAAATTCATGCAAATATAATTATTGTGTAGGAGAAAATATTTTTCTTTAAATGTTGACCACTTGCTTTGTTTGTATTATTAACATATCTTCAGCCAATTCATAGGTATTTTTGTGTCAAAGTCCTCTGTTACACACTGTTAAGGAAATGTAGCTAAAAACAAAATTTCCTTCCAACCCAGAAAAAGGTTCAATAAATATAGAAAAGAAAGAAAACAATTTTATTATTGAATAAGCATTGAAGCAGATGCTAGGCACATCACCGGCAATTTCTAAGAGACTGTTAAGATAGGAAGAACGCTCAGTCTTTCATATAATCAAGTAGATGCAGGCATTGCACACATATTCTCAAGATAAACAAACAATCATTAGTCCTCAAGTAAGGGAAATTGACACCACCACTTGTCACATATAGTTCATCCTAATTTCATCTGGAAATGAGATGACCATTTGTGTTAGCTAATTGGTTTTATTTTAAAAAAACAACAACAACCCAATATCTATGGCAGGTGGTAATTTTGGAGCCAAGAGCTCACTGAAGCTAGGCTCCTACATTCCCATAGGCACTGAGAGATAGGGGATGATTACATCGCAAAGAGATGTTCCCAGGTCCTTGAGAAAGACATTTCTGGTTTGTAAACCTGACAAGAGGCTTATTTAGGTTTCAAAATGATTTCGAGCATCCCCAAGGGACAGAGAAAGAATTTACAATTATAATTTTTTTTTGTTTGGTTTTTAATGCAATGCTCTGAAAGAAAGGGGGCAGGGAAAGGAGTCTCTTTTCATTTTTGTACCAGGGATTTTTTTTTTCTGATTTATATTTACCCTTATAACACCCTGGGGCTATAAATAGTTCTTGCCAGGGAATAAATGTTGAAAGATGCTTTCAACAAGATTCTCTCTCTCTCTCTCTCTCTCTCTCTCTCTCTCTCTCTCTCACACACACACACACACACCAGTAGCTGTACTTGGTGCTAGCAGGTTGTGATCTCTGTTTCTGACGTTTTTGACCTTGTTAGATATTTTTATTTCAAGGAAAGACATTTAGATACTTAGTGATATTTTATTGCTATAACTGCACTTTAAAATGATTGTTCTTAATCTTTGTAACTTTTGTTCAACAAATAATAATTGGAGTGCTTCTTTGTACAAAGGATTGCAGTTTTTGTATGATCATGATACACTTCTTGCTGTTGTTACTTAAAGTATCATACATTCTTCTAAAGTTTCAAATAGATTTTTTAAAATTCATAACATATGCAAAAAGTCTACTTTTAAGTTAGGAATGCATACAAATGATCTTTTAAAAAGTCTTTGAATAAGTGTAACATCATCTTATTAATGTATTTATTGTATGAGTTAACTTGTCCTCTCTAAAAATCGTTTCATAGTTATCTTTTCCAGTTTTTCCTTTTCCTTTAGTGAAATTACACTTTTCAGTGACAATTAACAGTCAATGCCATTGCTATGTCTAGATAAATTTAGAACATCTGTTGTAAAATCACTACAAAGGACATTCTGATTCTCACAAAGCTTGTATTGTAAGCCCTTAATTTCCTCTCTCAAATCTTGCAGGATATAGACAATCTACATGACACTAGCATATTTATTAACAGACTCTTTTACTGTAGCTTGGGGCATTTTTCTTGATAAATGGATTGCTTTATATAATTCAGATTTTCCATTTGATAACTATATTCAAGTACCCTAATTATAAGTTTAATTCTGCTATACAATCGCCCTCTTTTTCTCATCTCGCTTCTTTTCCTCTCTCTTCTCTCCCTATCTCACTCTTGATAAATTTTAATGCATCAAAGGAACACATGTGCTTTCCACGGACTATTTTTATAGTAGGCTTAAGAGAGTTTGAAATCCTGTTTTGTACTATATTGCCATAGTTTAGGCTTAACTTTGTTACTTAATTCTGAAATTTAACTGTATTCCATTTTTCATGTAATCATCATTTTTTGTGCTTTATTACTTGATAATAATTATGAGGGAAATTATTATTGAATGTTATTTATCTTACTAAAAGGAGTCCCATTGGGTGGAATTGCCATTACTGTGAGAGCAGTAGAACTGGCTGCGATTATTCCTCTGATTAGGAATTAGAGAACAGCATCCAATATTCAAATAAAAATCCCTAATATTTAAAGACAGTAAATTCTGAAATTCTCAAGGAATTTATAAAGGATTCAGTTAACTATGAAAACATTATGGCAAAACATAATTTAAAAACAGCAAGTCTCAAATAAGTTGAGACTTTTCCAACTACTGACAATTCTACAAATCCTTGGCTAGCGTAAGCTGTTGTACCCTTCTGAAAGTAAGTGCAGCATACTGCAAAACAAAACATCGATACATTTAAATTCAACCTCTCTGAAGCAGTATTTCCAAGGAGGCTATAGATTTTCTTTAAGTGCATCAAGCAATTGTCAGAGGGCAGTGGCCATGATTAACATGGGTTCCTATGCAGTGTTCTTCTCTCTTACATTGAGGCAAGTTAGGCAGAAAAGGATGGACACTGAATAATAAGATTAAAAATTTATGATTAAAAACTCCCATATTATCCAAGACCCTTAACCTGATACCTTCTAGTAAAAAGTCGTACATTTTATCAGCCATCAAAATGTCTCCTTCCCTGGGATTTATTATCATAGCAGTTTTTTTTTAAATATGTTTCTTTTGCCATATGATGTTGAAGTACCTACTTTAGTTCACTTCAGACTTACAAGACTAAGCACAAATGGACTGTGGTTAACATAATTGATCCTACAAGATAAAAACAAATTAATTCCAAGTGACAAAACTATGTTATTTCCCTATGTGATGTTATCAATATTAGGGAGCTTCCAAAATTTCTACTCATGCAGCATTAGAGGCATTGCTTTTCAAATTTTAACCTGCATCAGAATCATCTGGAGGGCTTATGTACATGGAATCCTGGGCCCTGCCTGGGATCCCAGAGGTTCCAGGTTAGTTGGTTTGGGAGAGGCAAGGCAAGACCTCGCATTTCTGACAGGATTCCAGATGATGCTATGCTACTGGTCTAGAAGTCACACTTTGAAAATCACATTAGAAAACCAGGTGACTCATTTTGAAGTAGCATTTGCATAGTAACCCAGCTGTTATTAATTAGTTGGTAAAGTTTTTATGAAGACTATTTCATTCATATTTTATTTTGAGAAAATGTCAGGAACCTATGTTAAGAATTTTTTTTAAATTTGAAGTGACTGGGTCAATTATAGAAATAACATGAAATGAAGCCCACTTTTGGGATCTCTACTGTATTTTTAGGGTGTTATCTGGTATCAAAGTTTGTAAAAAAAAAATTCATGTTTGATGAAGTTGATGAGGATAGTATTAAAGGAAGAGAAGACTATAAAGGGCTTAGTAAACAAAACAGCCCCTGATACTACAGAGCTCTTAAACTCTGAGAGACAAGTGTCAACAATTGCCTTACCTTTGTTTCTCTTCTGATTTATTTTTCCTTTGTTTTTCCTGGAAAGAATGGACTGTGCATTCGAGGAGACCTATATCATATATAAACAAAACTCAGTCAGAAATCTTAAAAAGTCTTTTTTGTTGTTGTTCCAAGAAAATTATTTTTAATAGAAAAAAATCACAATTTCATATTTAATCTACAATGGACAGAAAGGTTGCATAATCAGAAAAAAATCAAATAATTCAAAGGAATAACTTACCTTAGTGAAACACGTTTCTTCTTGTTCAGTCATATTCCTGTAGTTATCCAAAGATGTTCTGGGTATAGAAAGTAAAGTCATAAATTTACAGTAATTTTTAAGGAACTTAACAACCTTTGGAAAGATCCTTTAGTGATTTCATCTTCCCCTACTCTTCAGTATAGCTTCAATATCTTTTTTGCTATAATTCTAACTTTGTCTTTTTAAAATAACCATTTGATAATATTTATATATGTACCTCTCCACTTCTAAAATCTTTACTCTTCTTTTATTTATTATGTCTGACGTATGCTAAGAACAAAAAGAGATCCCTTACAAAATAATAGCTTGTAATAGCAACAGACTGTTTTCTTGATAAAGAAAGGACAAATGTGCTACACATAAGTTACTAGTATCTACTGTTCCAAAGAATACAAGTGATAGGCAACATTTTTCGGTTGTTTGTAAAGAAAATAGTGGTACCAAATATGCAATCGTTAAAGTGATGACCTGATTAGAAAACTCAAGGCTTTAAAAAATCCCCTAAAATTCACTCATTGTTTATAAACTCTTTTGCCTTATGTTCTTTTGGATTAGAAGTTTTTAAAAACATCAGAATTAGTAAAAATAACATTTTATCGGACTTCTATTAATAATTTTGAAAATAAAATAGTATCACTAGAATTTAACAAAAGAAAGAAAATTTAGATACCAACTGGTTGAACACATATTTGATGTATGAATTATTTCTTTAACTTTAATTCATTCATTAATTTAAAAATATTTATTGAACCTCTGTTGTGGGGGGAAGACACTGTTCCATTTACTAGGTTCATAAAATAATTAATATGTAGTTCCTGTTTCAACAAATTTGCAAAGATCTAGGGAAAAGAGTCAAGAGGATGAATTACGATTGCATTAAGTGTAAAAGTAACAGAGGCACAGAAAGCTCTGTGCTTGACACTGTTCTCTCTCCCCTTGTCTTTCTTATGCAAACTTTACTTTGTTCAATCCCCCCACTGCGTCACCCATGGTGTCCACCCACTGTATTAATCTTACAAGCTGGCTATCTCTGAACTCCTTAGTATCACATAAGAAAATGTCTACCTTCTTAAACTAGTACTAATCAAGGTTTCTGTTACTTGCAGTCAAACTCATTATTAACTCAGCCAGCGGAAAATTTCCATCATATTTCCTATCATCTCTGCATGAACAGTATCACTTACAAGTCCTACTATCTGACAAGGTGATTTGTTCTGTTCTAAAGATCAAATATTTTAAAGAGTGCTTATTCCATTAAAATTAAGTGAAATTTGATTGCTTTAATTTCCATTAAAAATAGCACTGTAAATTCATGCTTTTCAAAGCCGGCAATAGCTCTAAATTTTTAAAAGATGCATACACCATAAGTTTTAAAGATACACACACCATAGACTGGCAATGCATCTGGGCCCATAGAGTTTTAAATTTAGATACAGGTAGCAGTAATCTTGAGTCTATCAAAATCTTTGTGATATTTGAGAACCACCTGAGCTCATCGAATACTGAGAAAGCAGGAAAGAATACTATTATACCTTTATTCTTTCTATACACAAGTAAAAACTTTCTGTAGATCATATAAGAAGTAAAATTTCTTAGTATAGTTTACTTATTTTCAACATTGTTAAAAACTTCCAGTTGTGTTCCAAAGTTGTTTGTATGATTTACACTATAATCAATAGTGCTTAAGACTTCTCACTTCTCTATATATTTGTAAGTAATTCATTTTGTTATAGCTTTAAATTTTTTGCCCATAGGATGGGTGTAAAAGTGTATCTTGCTGTTTTAATTTGCATCTCTCTTATTACTAGTTGGGTTAAACAGCTCTTCATATGTTTACTAGACATTTGTATTTTATCTTCTTTGAAATACTTATACACATTCTTGCCTATTTTTTTACTGAGTATTTTTTATTATTGATTTGTAAATATTCTGTAAATCTTATTGACATTAATATTTTCTCTATTAGATCTGTGGAAAATAATCTTTCCATTTATTCACATTTACATATGTGATTGTTGTAAGATGTTTAATATTTTATATAATTAAATATAGTAATCATTTCCTCATGATTTGCTTTATATCTTGCCTAGATATCATTTTTATCCTGAATTTCATAAGATAAATATGTTATTTAAATACTAGCAAGTATCTGTATATCATTTTGATGTTTATTCCAAATGGAATTTTTTAATGTCTAATATGAGATAGGAGTCTATTTTTTTTCTTCCAGAAAGTAATTGCTTCAAGTAGTTTATTTAATGCAATTGTTTCCTTACTGATTTTTTTTTAAACCAAGTTCCCATATTTTTAATTGGAAAACAACTGGCAATGTTTACCAAGGGGGAAAAAAATCATATGCAATGATTTATTGTGAGAGTATCCCACCATCTTCAAATTCTTTTCTTTTTTAGGAGTCTTGAGCAATCTTGATGTAAACTTTCATATTTTTTTCAGAATTTTAGAATTAATTTATTAAGATTCCTACACCCAAAAGGCTATTGGGATTTTGATTATAGTTATATTATCATTATATTTTAACTTGGGGAAATTTGACATTTTTAATATTGAGTCTTAACATTCACAAGCATGAATATCTTTTCATTTATTCAAATCTGAATGGTGTCTGTATGAGGCAGAATTAGCCAGATGTTGATGGTTTGGGGATGGAGCTGTGTTCATGAGGTTTCATTACACTATTTCCACTATTTTTGCATATGTTCAAAAATTTCTTCATAAAAGAAAAGGAAAAAGCCAATATGGCTTAGTAGATGTCTTTGTGGCATTCATATAAGAATACATATTATATTCAATGGTCTATATGTTACTGATTTAAGAGTTGTTGGAGAAAAATTCTGAACAGAAGACATTATATAAAAGGGTAACATTTTAAAGCAAAAGGAAGAAAATGTAGGATAATTTATGGCTATAAGAAGAGACTAGAATGAAAATTAATACTGTGAGAGATTTGTATGAGAAATGCTCAGTTTTATCACAGTATCAGGTATGATTAGAAATGTAACAGATGTAATGAGAAACACATTTTAACAGCAATAAGGAAATCATCTAGAAAGGAAGTCTTTTGGGGTGAAGGAAGTGCAAAAATCTCATTCAGACTTCAAGTATAATATCAAGCATTGTTTCTCTTTGGAAATCATTTCTGTTGTTTCAGAATAATATAAATAATTAAACCTCCCATCCCTGGCCTTTCACAATCACATAGCTCAGTTTATATATCCATCAAACACTTACAGTATTAAAACCATTGTTTACTTTTTAATCCAGAAACTTCTTTCTAGAATAAATAATGTTTAATCTGCTTTGTGTTTGCCATATACATTATGGCATCAAGCACAAACTAAACCAATAATTATTCAATAGATCAACCCGGTATCTCTAGAAGTGTCAGTAAACATGTTTTGAAATAAATTAGCAATACTTTATTATTAAATAATTATTTATTTCATGATGAAGTTAGCTTGGGGAATTTTTGTACCATTAACTTTCCTATATTACCTTATCGATTTAGTTCTCAGACCAAAATACATGCCCGAACATAGTTATTGCGGTTTTAAGAGGAAGTTATACCAAAGATATTATCTATAATGATACTTGCATGTAAAACTTTTTCTAAAACAAAATAGAAATGAAAACTTGGTTAAAAGTTTGTCCTATATCGGATTAATCACAAAGGTATTTCTTCTGAGAATGAGGCTCAAAGAAATCAAACAGCCTTCATTCAAACATAAATCCATTTATATAGAGATGTGTGGATATAAACTAAGGAATTATGATTCTTTTGTTAATGAAAATGAAATGACATAGAATATTTTAAGTGGAACTGACAATATGAAAAATGTTGATAGCAACTTTGAAGAGAATTTTTGAAAGCAGCAAAATAACTTTGGTGATGGCTTCTTTCATCTTTGTTTCATTAAATCATTGTTGCAGAAAGACTGACAACTTTTATATTATGAAAGAATTCCTTTAAATCAATTTTACTTCAATTTTATTTAAAAGAACCAAATTACCAAAGTCAACTTTCTGAAAAAATAACACATTCATATAATTAAAAATGTAAAAAGCATGAAAAATGAGGTATGCAGAGAAATTCTCCCTTGTACTCCTAAGTCCCATGTATTAAATTCTCTTCCAAAATGGCAATACAGTTTAATAGTTTTTTTTTGCATATGATTCCTGATATATATTCTTCCCTCTGGGTCTGTTTCTGGAAGAAAATTCTCTAAGAGAAGTTTTCATAGCAGATACTGAAATTATTTTCAAAAAATTTTCTAATACTACTAGATTTTCAATTTTTCTAGTACAATTATAAATTATAAGTCATTTTTAAAATGCCATATTCTAATTTTTTGGCTGATGTATTAGTTTGGCTACCTAACAAAATATCACAGACTGAGTGAATTAAATAACAAAGATCCAGATATTGGCTGTGTTGGTTTCCCCTGAGGTCTCTCTCCTTTGTTGTGAAACGGCTGCCTTCTCTCCCGGTCCTCACATGGCCTTCCCTCTGTGCGTGCATCCCTGGTGTTTGTCCCCCTTCTTATAAGGACATCAGTCATATTGGATTAGGTCTCCATCCTAATGACCACATTTAAACTTAAGTTATCTCTTTAAAGGGCTCATTTCCAAATATATCCACATTGGGGTTTGGGGCTTCAACAGAAGAACTTAAGGGCAACATAAAAGCTGATATATAGAAATTCTTTTTTTTTTTTTTTTTGGTATATTGACATTGTATTAAAGAAACTTAACAATTAGTTTATTTCTAATAGTTTACCTTTGCTTGTATTCCCCATGTAAGGATATGTCATCTCAAATGGTGACGGTCTTTATTTCCAATTCCTTAAGCTAGTATTGTCTTTGCCTTACTGCACAGGTAAGGATCCTTAGAAGAGTGACCCATAGAGGATAACTGGAGGTAGCCTTGTCTTGATTCCTATCTCAAAGAAAGCTTTCAGCATTTCACATTTAAGACTGCTTTATGTCTATTTTATCAGAATAATAATCATTCAATCCTTGTTTGGTAAGTTTTTTATCTTGAATGAATATTGAATTTTGTTAAAGAATTTTCCTGAATGAAGAATAGATGTCTTCATATATTTTGTTATATGATAAATAACATTAGTTGGCATTTAAATATTAAAACTCACCTTCTTTTCTGTAATAAACCCAATCACTTGTATGTATATATATATTTTTTTACATTTATCTGAATTTTTAAAAATTTACTCTACTTGGAACTTGTTAGGTACTTATTTTTGGCTTGGTATATATATATTTCAATTCTCAAATAAATAACTTCAAATCTTGCTTTGGCTCATTCTTTTTCTCTTCTCCTTTTATAATTCTCACCGTATTCTCTTTATATTTTAGTCTCTCTTGTTCTATATTTTAATCATGTGTTTCTTTGTCATCTATTCTAGGTATTTTCTCTTAACCTAATTTTTAGCTTACTATTTTTTCCTTAGCTGCGTCTAATTTTTGAAACCTATGTATTGAATTCTTAATTTCCTGTATTATATTTTTTAGCTCTAGAATTTCAATTATGTTCTTTTTTAAAAATAATTCTCAGTTCTCTGCTAGTATTATTACTTCTGTTTTTAATGTCTGCCACTGATAACTCCGTTATTTGTAGATCTCTTATTTTCAGTTGTTTCTGCTGATCTTGTTCATGTTTTACCTCCACGTTTCTCTAATTGTTTTTATTGGGTACTCAGTGTTGCACTTGCAAAAATGTTTGAATGAAAAACTTGACACCTACGATGAAGTAAAATTTCTCTAAAGAGATATATTTTCTGCCAAGTGCTTGGGTCACTATCAATTTAGGATTATTATAATGGAATTTCTGGGATTGAGATGACTTAAAATTGGAATGTAATCTTCACTGAATTTTCTCTACCGCCGCTAAATTAGAGCCCTTGGGGGTTTATGCACAGAGTAAGGACTGTTGACCTGGCATCCCTCTTGATATGTGCCAGAGTCCTTGTTCTGCCCCTGCAGCTGCAAAAAGCTGTTCCAGTGTGCTCTTCAGCATCTCAGCCACGATATCTGGAATCAACAAATGGCTTTTAGAGAAAAGGGACTCTGAATACAGTGCACACATCCCTGGAACACCATCCTTCCCCAGAAGAATGGTCCAGTTTTTCTTTATTCTTGTTACCTCTCCGGTGCTTCTAGGAAGATCTTTATTTGTTTGATTTTTTTTTCCGTCCAAGTGTTATATTACCTTCAGTAAGGAAAGTTCAGAAGGTATGTTGACTATTAATGAGTGGGAATAATTTTTAACTATTAAAATCCAAGCAGAAATATTTAGGTATAATATGTTTTGCTTTTGTCCCGTGGTGACACTATCTTATAATAAATATTGTTATATCTTTGTTCATTGAATTCTTATCCCCAACCCCACTTATTTTTCTAGACTCCTTTTTTGCAGGAAGTTCATATGTCAGCAGTGTAGGAATGAGTTTGAGGCTAAATGGAGATTTTCCTATGATGAAGGATTTTGAATTTGAGTTTTTTGAGCTTTCACTCTTTGTCAGTGATAACAGGCGACAGTATATAGTTCTTTCTCTCACCCCTTCATGCAAGGATTTTTTTCTTCCATTCTCACAGAGCAAACTGTCTTCTATGATTATAGTTGTATATGTAATGTCTCATTTCGTCCTGTCTCCTCTGCGTTTAGACAATTCCTTCTTGATGCTATTGTTGCAGTGCAAATATTTAGTTTTTTTATCCCACCTTAAATATTTTGCTTTATCTTCAAAGAGTAATTTTTGCTGGACTTCCCGAGATGCAGGGATTGCATTATCTGTTGTATATATCTTTTATTTACTTCCACCTGTATGCCTTACCTGAGAAATATTCACTGCTGTGAACATTCTTTCCATCCATTTGGGTTTTGAGTGTTAGTTCCTCCTGCTTTGTCTAGATACAGAGCTTGCGTGTTTCTTTCTCATAAATGTTGTGACTGTTGGATGAGTTCCTGAAAAATAATGGAGGAAACAATTTCTAGAATACTGAAGTTCTGTCATTATACGCAATGTACACTTTTAAGAAGTGATGCCATCCTGACTAGACAATTTACAGAAAAAAATTCAGTAAGTTAATAAATAAAACAATAAACATATAATTGTTATATACTTGAAACTAATGATCAGAAATTTATATTTGTAATTACATACTTAGATAAATCATTAATCTAAATAATTTTTGAACAGTAAAGTGCTTTGGAAGGACCTGATAATTTCTAAAGTCATTTCTGTTCTAAATATTTAGGACTCCATTACTTACTTTATCTAAGTCTAGCTTGCCAAAGTTTAGTTACAGTAAGACCAATTTTCCTAACAAATTCTTCCTTTAGATTAGTGAATTTTTATTATATAAATATTTTTAGGTGTATTTTTATGTTAAAAAAATTAAACTTCTATCACATTTCTTTAAAAACTCTTAATTTACAATGGCAAAATGATAACTTCCAAAAATTATAACTTATAATTGTGGCTAAATGTTTCAGATTGTTTTAATATGAAATATAACATTTTTTTCTTTGCTATATTAAAAGAATGGAACATAAAATTTCTTCTCACTTCTAAAGAAATTTTAAATATTAAACTTTCCCTTTCTTCAAGAAAAGAACTGGTTTTAGGCCTGTTGCTGTTTCTAAATCTAGATTTAATAGGTCATAAATGTCTCTTACCAGATAAGAAGAAAAAATATCTTTAGAAGATTAATGTAACAGAGAAGGACAAACCTGACTCCATGTTGGATCTATTCCTTTAAGCTCTAAACTTTGTTCTCAGGTGCCTGTACTTTGTCATGCTGGCTCTGCACCTTTGTAAAGGAATGTTGCCTATAGCCCAAAATATACATCATAACTTTTTCTCAAGGCTCTGCCTGCCAGTCTTGACCTTTAAAGGTATAACACTTTTCATTCACATAGAGATCAAAAGTTGTAGAACAGAGAATAACACTTGTCTTGTGGAAGGTTTACAGGAACATTGTGACCAGACCTTCATGGACAGCTGTAAGAACTAAGAATTATGACATTCCCTCCAGGGTCTGAATCGGAACCAAGAAGTTTGCAACAATCAGCCATACCCTCTCCCCTTTTAGTATAAAAGGAGCCTGAATTCTAACTTGGATAAGATAATTCTTTGAGATACTAGTCATCTTCTTGGTTTGCTAGCTTTCTGAATAAAGTTGCTGTTCTTTGCCTCAACACCTCACCTGTGTTTTGATTTATCAGCCTGTTGTGCAGCAAGCAGTACGAGCTTGGACTAGGTAACAGTAAGAGGTATGGCTCTTCTGGGAAGCAATAAAGAAGGAATGGTTTCCCCTAGGACAGAAGTAGGTCATGGAATTGGGGAAAGAGCTATCAAGACTGTAGGCTGATCCTGGTGAAGTCTGATAGTACTCAGAGCCCGGAATGAGCTGAGTGAGTGGACCAAGGAGGGCCACTGTGAAGAGCCTTATGGGAGAGCCCCAAGCCCTACTGGCATGGAAACGTGCCTCAAACAATTCTCAGTCTCATTGCCTCAGCCCATAACATTACTTTCACCTCCATCTGGTCATTATAAAGACCCATTGAATAAAGAATCCACTTATTATAGAATATTTTCCAAATAACTTTACTAACACATTTACTCAGATTGAAAAAAATTTAAATGTACAAATTAAATCAGGACACTGGCACTTTCAAGATTATTGCCTACAGATCATGTATAATAGTAATTTACTCAGCACATTATTACTTTTTCAAACAATTAAGCTCATGATCTTATTTACCCTCATAATAAAAACTGACAATGAAGTGCAATTGAAAAATTCTGGCCTAAGACTCAAAAAATCTAAGGCTCAATTTGGCTTTGCTTCCAAAATTACTTAACCTTACTGTGAAAAGTCACTTAATTTGAGTATGCATCAAGAGCTAGAATGTAGTTCTGTTCTTTTTTTTTAATGTCCAACATTAAATCCCACTTATTTGATAAAAATACCATTTCCCTTAATTTATTAAGAGTTTATATTGTTCACATGAGACAAGTCCTTCCACTAGCTCAGGAGATGAGGTCATTGCCTGGATGTCACTGCTTTATTCATGAATGGACATACAAACCAATTATGATCAGTAACAGTAATATCTGGGATTTTTGTCAGAGCTGTAGAAAAGAGGTGTTCTCTCCCCTGAGATTACTAAACTGCTAGAATGTAAGCCTGGAGGTCTGAAAGTCCTCATGTAGACAGCCTACCAGTAACAAGACCAATGAGAGGAAAACAGAATAAATACTGATAAAGACAGGACTTCTTGATTCAAGATGAGTTCCCGTATTCAACCATGTTTGCCCAGTAAATTATTTTTTTAAGGCCAGTTTGAGTTGTAATTCTGACATTTGCAGGACAGGTCATGACTTACACACTATCTTCAACTATAAAATCACAGAAGTAACTAGATGATGATTTTCAAAGTTAAATCACTGTAATGCAAACCTTGAGGAAGTAAACAAATACAGAATCTAATTTTTGTTAAGTACAGATTTTTTTTTCACTGCTAGTTCATCAGCACCAAGAACAGTACCTGGCACACAATAAATGCTCAATACTTAGTTGTTGAATAAATGAATGGATTTTCATTTTAGGACAGGGAAGTTATTATCTAATTCTGTCCCCCTTATCAGTCTACTAGAATAAGAAAATACAATATCATTTATTTGCAGTTGAGTGTGGTACTAAAATAAATCTTATCTTTACTTGGTTATCAAGCAGTTTGGGGGTCCTGGGGTTCACTCCTATCTTCATGAAGTTGAAAAACATACGCAACTCTCTATTCTTCTTACTGATGTAGCTGACTCTGAATAAAGTTATCATATCTATGAAGATATAAAACACCTATTTTATCACAATTATATCTTTATTTTCACACATTTTTTCATAGGGTTAATTATGCATGAATAATGCTATGGTTATAAAACATCAGATCAATTACTATGTGCTAGGAATTGGGCTACTGCAATATGTTATAGTCAAAAGAGCAAAATGACTCAATTTCTTTCTCCTTATATATATATACATAATCTCCATTATGAAGATAAAAATATAAAACTGTAGCTGTACATGTGAAAATGCATTGTAAACTGCAAAAATTAAAATGCACATCTAAGGTGTTTCTTAAAGGTAACCCAAACTAGGACTTAAAATTGAGTCATATTTCATGAACATGTGCCGTTGCACTGTTCCAAGCAGGATCATTTCTGTAGAATACAGTGTGAATGTAGACTATGGTAGAAATGTACAATTTTGTAGACTGCTCCCCCTAGAACACAACTCAAGAAAGCATCATTCATAGGAATAATACAAAATTGCTGTCCTGGGTCACATCAGTGACAATTGCCCATTTTCCTCATCTTACTATCACAGCACTTCAGCTCCTATTAAAGTATCCTACAACATATGTATATTCCAAAAGGTTCCTTTATATATGTTGGTGGATAAATCTTATAACCACATGGAATTCTGCCCTGTTTTTCATATCCTGATTCAGCTTCCCACAGGGATGTCTGTTGCCAAGACCACTTTTTTAAAAAACTGTAAGGAAGTACATTGACTCCTACTCTGTCCCCCAAGGCTGAACTGTCTCTGTCAGGCATAGGCATAACTTTTACCAGTCTCTATCACTGTCACTAGCACTGTCGCCTTTGCTGGGCAGTATTGCTACTGCTTCCTGTGATAGGAACTTCCATCCCTGTTGAGATGGATATCTAAGAGCCAGTGTGGCTCTTGTAGTTGAAGAAGAATAAAAACAATTAGCTTGAGCCTTTTATTAAAATCTGGAAACATGAGGAAAGCTCATGACTGTCTTATGAAGAGCAAGAAGCATAAAAATTCTATAAGAAAAACTGAAGATGGTCAGGCAAAATAGTTTTTTCAGAGAATTTTCCTTGTTCAAATTCTTGAAAGGTATAAAGAAACTGAGCTTAAGTTAATCATGAAACAAGATATAGGGACAACAGGACTGAAGGTGTGATCAACCAGGCTTAGGAATAGGCATGGAGAAGAACAGTTGGGTGCTCAGTTCTTGCTAGTGTAGGTAGAAATTTTTATTCCTTCAGCATCTTTAACATTGAACCCAATGGGTTCCCCATGGGTATATGTTCAATGCAGAAGTGAAGAATGCTTTTCTCACTTTTACTATGTTTTATCACAGGGTTATTATAGTGCCTCCTAGTCTACATCTTGTAAACCCTCCAGAGGAATTAGACATAAACCTACGGGTATCTAGGTCAGGGACTAATTTTTTGACAAGTATAACATTGTACTTAGAATCAGCTTTCCTGTTATGAGCTGAACTGCATCTTCCCCAAATTCATATGCTGTAGTTCTAAAATCACCCTCTTTCAGTACCTCAGATGTGACTGTTTTTGGAGATAGGACTTTTAAAGAGGTATTTTGGTAAAAATCAAGTTACTACGATGGGCCCTATTCCAACATGATGGAAGTCCTTATAAGCAAAGGAAATTTGGACACAAATATACAGAGGGAAGACCACATGAAGACAAAAAGGAGATGATCCTTTATAAGCCAAGGAGAGAGGCCTTAGAAGTCATCAATCGTGCGGGCACCTTGATCTCAAATTTCCAGCCTCCAGAAATTTTCTCACAGAATTGTGAGAAAATAAAATTTCTGTTGTATAAGCCATCCAGAATGTGTTACTTTGTTATGGCAGCCTTAGCAAACTAATACATCGACCTTCTGCAAGGTAAGGTTTTGTTACTGGTAAGGTCTGTTCCCATGTCCCCATCATCCCTTAAAATAATTTCTCCCTCAAAAGCCTTCCCAGTCCTTTGCCACAGGAATCCTGCTACAAATCCAGCTGGTCTGAATCTCAGGGTTAGATTCAGCTCAAGCTTGAGATGAGGAATATACTCTCTTTTCAACCCAAACCCTTTTATTATACTTTTAACAAACGGCCACAGCACTATTGTTGGCCAC